GATTATTTGTTTGTTCTACATAAAAGAGATAGCTGTTCTTCGGTGGATTCTGAAGAATTCGAGCCTAAAGTTTTGGTGGATTCCGGAATGGCTCATCGTCAAGACAATTCCAAGGTGAAAACAGGGTTGGAAGAGACACATAGAGGTTGGTTCAATTCGGGCGTAGATTCGCTAGGTAATTGAGAGTATACCTATGTAATTCCTTTATATCTTCTTAGTGGATTATTTTGTGGCTGTTGCCCGTGGTTTTTTATCACAATTGGAGGTGTCCAATTGTAGTTTTTTCACGTTAAAATCGTTGTGTCGATTTGTCTTGATTGTTTGATTGTGATTGTTTTATTGCTTAAAATTGATACATAATCACAAATCAACATCTAGAGGATTTATAAATTTTTCAGTTAATTCAAGTATCTCGATTAATAACTGTCGATTAGGCTTAAACTAAATTTTTTCCAACAATTGTATCACTTTTGTTTATTAAAAAAATAAGGCAAATTATACTTTCCAATCTTATAGTTTAAACTCAATCTCATCCCCCCATCCTTCTCCCTTTACTTTTTAATTGTTCTAATTAATTCTTTAGATTTTAATTCAAGTTGCAATTGAGTCCAATCATATCATTTCAAAAATTGACGGAATGATTAAAGTAAAATTTTAATAAAAATACAAAGGTGCTAAATGTTAAAATAGAGAAACTAAAGTGAAATTTTTATGAAAGTGCAAGGGTATTGAGATTAATAAATACTATTATTATGTAATTGGTGTCCATTAGTTTTCAAAGTGACATACAAATGGACTCAATTATTGCTTGACTCAAAATATGAGGGCGGACTATAATATTTAGAAGGTAAAGGGTAAAATGATAGTGAATTTCTGTTTTAAAAAATGTTTGTATGATTTTATATAATTGAGAAGATTATTAAATATATATTTTCAAATTAAGAATGTACAGTGAAATTTCTTGAGAGATAGCAATTGGAATTGGTTAAAAAAATTGTTAAAGTGACACCACACACAAAAGAAAAAAAAATCGTAAATTAAACTCAACTTTTGAGATTAAAAAAATATATAGGCTATATGGCATGGTTTGGCAAGTGGGTTTGGATAGGTTTGGGGTTATTTTAGACACAAAAAATAAAATAGGTTATTTTAGTCATAACAAACAAAATATCACATCAAACCCATAATCATTACACTCTTTTCTCACAAAAAAAGTCAAAAAGTCAAAAAGTCCTCAAACTAAGTTTTTTAACACAGGCTAAAATAGCCAAAAAAGTCAAAATTAGTTTCACAATTTTAAAATAATTACATTAATTTTTTTAAAAAGTTTTAATATAGATAAAAAACTATTTTTTATTAATAATTTATTAATTGTATAAATATAAAAAAAATAATACAATCATCTATTTTTTACAAAAATGTATACTTATTATTATTTATTTTAATATATATCCACCATCAACATTAATTTTAAATATTTTAATCTTATTAAAAAGATCAGTATAATTATTTAAAAAATATGAAGCTAATTGTATTATTTTGAAAGGTGGAGTGTAAGTTACTAACCCAAAAAAAAAAATAAAGAAGAAAAATTGAGGTGGAAAAAACAAAGAAAGTAAGTGGGAAAAGTGAAAAAAAGTAGGATGGGTTTCTCATACATTTCCTAGAAAGCACCGAGGAAACAAATGAAGAGAGAGAAAAAGATTTTGGGTTTTGTTAGTTTGACCAAAAAAATCCACATTTTTACATTTTGAAATTCGAAACAGTGTTTACCTTGACTTAAATAAATTTAAATATATATATATATATATTTAGTAAGAGCACTTTATTTCGAATTTCAAATTTAATGTGATGCTTTATCAATTATATTTTGATATCAAAGATTAATCACACCTATATGTTAAATGTTGAGTTGATATTTATAAACTCAACTTGTCAAATTGAATTGGCATTTATCACCTTATCTTTTTAAAAAAAAATTAAACACCAAATTTAAAAAATTATGATGAAGATGCTTCTAATAAGTTAGAATAATTGTGCTTTTAATGTCTTTTTTTCTAATTATCAACTTTTAATTTATAAAAAGTTACTCCGTCAAATTAGGGGTTGAAGTCAAAGTAACTGTTATACATTTAAATTTTTTTTTTTTTGAATGACATTATGCATTTCAATTATTCAGTATTCAATTTAAATATAATATTTGTATCACTTTATTCTTAAATTATCAATTCAAATAATTACTATATTAAACTATTTACATTAATTTAATATATCCAAATTGTCAATAGAAGTAATATTTTTGATGAAATATTGCGCGCACTGATATACAAAAAAAAATGTGTTCACATGATTTACTTAATTTAGTTGCATGTAGAGACAATAATTTTTACAATTGATTATATTTTATGTTTTATTGATATTTTTAAAAAATAATTAGTTTAGATATTTGTGGTTTTTTTTTTTAGCCCATCAAAAGAAAGAGAAGATATTGTTTTGATTAGGTAATCTCTAACTCTTACTCAAAATTTTACTTAAAATTTTGAGTAAAAACTTAATTTGATATGAACTATTACAATGGATAAATTAAATTTAAGTATAAATTTAAACAACAATAATTCATCCCACTAATTTTGGAGCTCTAATTGAGCACTAATGAGGTGAAAAATTGAAAAAAAAAAAAAAACTAAAGCCAAAACATCACATTAATGGGTGGGGCCCACCTCCTAGAGCTTCTTTAGAGCTCATAGTTTAGAACTCCTAAACATTTTTCAAAATTTAAATAAATATTTTCACTAATGACGTAGTGATAAGTTTAAGAGTTATTGGGGTGTTTTGGAATGTGGTCAAAAAGTTGTTATTTTTTACTTTTTTTTTATTTTTTTGTGGAGAGAGGGAAGGAGATAAAAGTTAAGAAGTGGCTTTTAACCACTTCTCAAAATAGGCATAGTCTTGAAAATTTTGAGTAAACATTCAAGTCTCTTCATTATGAAAAAATTTGAGCCAAATTTTAATTTAGCATAACTTTTGATTCATGAGTGAAGACTAAATGATTTTTATTTAAATTTAATTTTGATATATGTTTTGATCAAGATATCTTTGAATTAATCACTTATGATAAGATATTCTATCAAATATATTAATGATTTAATGATTTAAAATAAAATAAAACAAAATAAATTAATAATTTAAAGAGTTATTTAAATTAATAATTTCAAATTTGATAATTTGAAAAGGGCAAAGTCCACCTTAAATAAAAAATAAATAAAATAAAAAGAAAAAAAACCCAAGGGGTGTGTACCCGTTTGGGAACAGGCTAAATTTAGTAACTTTTTGACTATTTGGTTAAAAAGGTAGGTAAAAAAAACTTGTATGTTTGGGATGACTTTTTGACTAATTACGAAAAGATGTGCAAAAAGTAGAGAGAAAATAGAATCTTTGACTTTTTGGTACGGGTTGTTGGCTTTTTGGCTAATTTAGTAACTTTTTGACTAATTGACTAAAATAGCCTCTTGCCAAACGAGGCCTGAGACTAAAATTCTAACTGAGACTCTAGAGGTCACTTTTAGGTGATGTTACATAACATGATTAGTAAATCATACAACGGTAAGTCACAAATTCACATACAGGCAGAGATTTGAACTCACTCAGCCATATAGTAGTAAGTCTCAGATTCACACACATGCCGATATTCTAATCCATTCAACTATATAACGGTAAGTCGTAGATTTGCACACAGACGGGGATTCAAACCCACACTCTTGGCGCCGTTTTGGGAAGAGACAAAAACGCTTGCGTTTTTGTTGCTGCAGAAAAAAGCTCACCCAACTAAAAAAGCAGTTGTTGCATTTGGGATGTGATAAAAAAGCTACCGTGTCAAATTACATAAATACCCTATAGGTTAACAAATTGTGTAGAATTTCAAAGTTTGGCAAGGGTATTTTGGTCATTTTATTTTGATTTGACATCATAAATAAATATTAACAAAAAAAGTCAAAACTTAACTTTTTACCAACTTCCCAAATCATTTTCTCAGAAGTTAAAAAGTTTGGTAAAAAGTCAAAAGTCAACTTTTTACCAACTTCCCAAAACACCCCTTGATACTCATTACAATTTTCCCAGACTTAGGAGATGTTTGACAAGTTGGTTTGTGGCTAAAATAGTCACAAAAGACAAAATAAGTTATTTTAGTCACAACAAACAAAGCATTACATCCAACTCATAATCATTACACTCTTCTCTTACAAAAAAAATAAAAAAAGTCAAAAAGCTAAAAAGTCATTCCCAAACCAAACTTTTTGGCCCAGGTTAAAATAACTTAAAAAGTTAAAAAGCCAACTCGCTTCCTAAACAGAGGCTTAAAAGATTTGTCCAATCAACTATTTGTGTTATTGCTAGAGTGACTGACCCTCAAAAAAGTAGAATCTAAGGTCAGTTTGGTTTAGTTTTAAAATTATGATTTGAATGTAGAGTTATATTTTAAGTTTTTGAATCATTATTTGAAAACAAAAATTTTGTTTAGTTATGAGTTTTAAAAATAATTTTAGGATGATTTGTAAATTTTTTTTTTTGTTTTGATTAATTGATATATAAAATGTGAAAGGAAATATGAGGGAAAAAAAAGTGATTGATTGATTAAATAATAATAATAATAATAATAATAATAATAATATAAAAAGAAAGATAAAAGAGAAGTTTTGAAAATAATTTTAAAAAACTATTTAATTAACTTATTTCATTTAAATAGTAATTTGAAAATTATATTAAATTTTGAAAAATAAATCAAAGGCAACTTTTTAAAGATTTCAAAATTTATACCTTAAAGCCTGACTAGACACCCTAGGTTTGGCAAAGTCTAGTACCTAACTATTATGAAATACAATTCTTCCTTTTGGAAAATAAAAAAAAATTATAAAAAAAAAAAAAAACTGCAAAGTCAATTTTTCCCAAAAAGTAATTTACCTTCAAATGATAGGTCATTTCTGTAATCTTTCTTTTATTAAAGCTAAGAACAAGCATCAGCTTTCTCTCTCTCTCTCTAAAAAACAGCCGTTGCAGAGCTTCTATGGAGACCAGGATAATCAAAGCTAAGCAAGAGGGAATGAACTGAAGAAGAATTGCTCTCCAGAATCTCTCAAATTCTTTGAACTGCCGTTGATTATCTTGTGTGTGTGTGTGTCTCTCTCTCTCTCTCTCTCTGGTACGTTCTAATATCTATCTCTTTGTCTCTGATCATGTTGAGAGAGAAAGATCTTTCATCTGATGGTGTCTGTGGCTGTGAAAGCTCTCAGACCATGGTCACACATCACATTTCTGAGCAAAATCTGGAGAACCCAGATGATAAAATCGGATTTCCTGAAAAGGGTATTGATTTTCTGAGAAAATCAGACATGGGTTGTGATGGGTTTCAGTCAAAACCCTCAAAAACAGGGAATTCTGGCTCTCAAGAGCTGACCCTAAGCTATCTCTGTGATAATTCCAAGATGGCTTTTCCCGAGAAAGAGATTCCCGGGAAAAATTTACTGAATTCTTTAGAGAAAGTGAGTTACAAAGGAAAAGAAATAGTTTGCGAGGATCAAATTCAAGAGAATAATAGATGGGTAGAGAGAGATTTTCTTCAGTTGGATGAGGCTAAAGGGAATTCATCATCCAACAGAGAGGCTGATGATGAAGATATTGAGAGAGAGAAGAGAGACAAGAAGCCTAAGCTAGAGACTCTCAATCTGTCTCTAGCTTTGCCTGATGTGTCTCTCTCTCTAGCCGCATCGAATCCGGTGCCAAATGCTGATCTTCCGGCTAGGCTTTGGCCTAGCCGAAGTGTACAGTCATTGGAACCGTCAAATAACAATACCCAAACAACGTACTCTAATGATTTTACTGCTGCTTCGTTGTCGTATTCGTATTCGCACCAGTTTTCGCACAATCCCAGTTGCTCGCTCACCCGGAATTCTACTGAGAATTATGAGTATTCTGTGGGGACTGGGAGTCATAGGAGAGACTGTGAGATTTGGAATGGTGGGGAGGGGACTAATGGTTCGGTTCATAGTCGATTTAGGCCAATTGGAGATGGGGTTGCATTGTCCAATCATGGTGGTGGAGCGTTTTCGTTGATGCAAGCTAATCGTGCTGTCAATAAGGATTCATGTAACAATAGTCTTTACCATACAACAAGTTCTGATAATCATTCATTTTTTCCTTCCGAGCTGCCTGCAATGCTTAGGATGGACACTCAATCGGGTGATTCAAGAGGAAGAGGTTCGGAGCACGTGAGAGGGGTGGAGAATTTGGATGGTGGAAGGGCCTCTAAGCTGTCTAGACCTGAAAGGATTCTTCGTGAAATTATATCCGAGTCTATCCCTTTCATGTCTCAAATAATTCAAGAACTTCCCGATGAAACAGTTGAGTCAACGAAGGAATACTTGAAGAATCTCATTTCAATGCCTGAGAAAAGAGAGGAATTAGTGAGCCTCCAGGATCGGCTCGAGAGAAGATCTGATCTAACCAAAGAGACACTTTCCAAGTCCTACAAAACCCAATTGGAAATCTTGGTTGCTATCAAAATGGGCCTTGGAGCCTTCTTATCGAGCAAAATTTGCATTCCCACAACAGAGCTGGTGGAAATTTTCTTACTTGAAAGATGTCGAAATGTGAATTGCAAGAGGATGTTGCCCGTTGAGGACTGTGACTGCAAGATATGCTCAACAAAGAAAGGGTTTTGTAGCGAGTGTATGTGTCCGGTCTGTTTGAACTTCGATTGTGCAAGCAACACTTGCAGTTGGGTTGGCTGTGATGTTTGTGCTCATTGGTGCCACGCTGCATGTGGAATCCAAAAGAATCTCATCAAGCCAGGTCCCAGCTTGAAGGGGCCGTCAGGGACGAGTGAGATGCAATTTCACTGCCTTGGTTGTGGTCACGCTTCGGAGATGTTTGGGTTTGTGAAAGATGTGTTTATGTCCTGTGCAAAGGATTGGGGTCTAGAAACCCTATTGAAGGAGCTTGATTGTGTGGGGAAAATCTTTCGGGGAAGTGAAGATTTCAAAGGCAAGGAGCTGCATATTAAGGCCGACGAAATGCTCTCCAAGCTTGAAAATAAACTGATGTCGCCTTCGGATGTCTGCAATTTCATCCTTCAGTTTTTCAACTGTAAGTGTCAAAACCTTGGCTTGTTACATTTTGTTTTCAATTTAGTACTTAGCATATCAATTGGAATGTCTTAGAAGATCTTATTCTTTTATGGGTCTTTTGAAATTAAGTTAGTCATTTTGCCATTCTGCTTTTTAATATTTGAAGCATGAAGCAAGATGAACTTATCAATACACACGTATATATTTGAAGCAAGGTGCTCGATAATATTAATAACGATCAGACATGATTGATTTTGTCTTTTGCTTGTTGTTTCATGATGGACTCTCTTTTTTCTGTAATTAATTCATGATGGACACTGTTACCTAATTACACAATATTTTTCAGTTGAAAGGATAATTTGTGGTTAAATTGCTAATCTTATATTTTAATTTGTAAGTAATGATCACCTGTAGGCCAATATGATATGGAGTTTAGAAATGATGTTTGCAAGTACGAGTATCTGATATGGAAATACTTTCTTTTTTTGGAAGCACAATCTCACATATATGGCCTGGGTTGTCCGAAATAACCAAACTTGTTGCAATCCCTAGTATGGCATAGTGCTAATTTTGGGACAAAGTTGAAACCTACATTCTATTGAACATGGTGTGGTTTGGTGCAGCCTAAATGGATTGTTTATTACTTTTTTTTTTATTATTTCTTTTAGATGGCAGACCATTTGGATCCTTAAAGCTGTGTTTGGATCATGGATTTGGGTAGAGATTTGGAAAGGAAAATAGAAAAATGTAGCTATATTTCATTAACATTTCACCTATTTTTTCCATTCCCTTTCCAAATCCCTACCCAAATTCCTAATCCAAACACAACCTTAATTTGTAACGATGTATGAAGAAGAAGAAATTTGCATTTGCTAGTGGCACCAATGGGCATCATCTCCTTATTCTTTGCTAGTGTATAATTGCAAAATGAATTATATAGGAGGTATTTTCAACTGATTCTATTGGCAAATTATCTTTTCTATATGTGCATGGCAACAAAATTCTCTCTCTCTATTCTTTTTTTTTTTTTTGAAAATCTCCTAAACGTATCGTGCTTTTTCATCAGCTGAACAAATTTCAAATCTATTTCACATATTCAAATAGTTCTGAATTTTATCTTGAATATTACAAATAATTCTTTCACTTATATTAATTATTTAGGAATTAGGATAACCATTAGGATTCATTGTTTGTAAGATTTCAAAATTATTCTTAAATCTTAGTAGTTTCATGAACACTGATAGTTTCTCAAGAATTACAAATATCTCTCAATAAGGTTTAATATCCAACCTTGATGACTATGTGTAGGGTTGCAAACGAGCTGAGAACTAATCATGCTCGAGTTCAGCTCGAAGCTTGATAATGAAGAAATAGTGAAGCTTGATATTCAAGCTTGGTTGGCTCATTAAACATTACTCTATATGAAGCATACATATAAGCACATTATTTACTAAATAAATAATATATTTACCCTATTACTTTAATAAATAATAGACAAGCAGAGCTTATTCTAGCTTGAGCTCGGCTTGTTTATTCAACGAGCCTAAAAATTTGGTTCGAGCTTGTTTTGTATACATAACAAACCAAACCAAGCCCTTACTGAGCAGAGCTTGCAAGTAGCATGTTTCATTTGCAGCCCTATAGGTTACACTGCCTCTTCTCCTTAGAGAGGATTGAAATAATGAATCGGAAGAATTTGAGATGTTGCAACTAGTTTGAGAAGTACCTAGACAAACGGAGGCTAACAGATTATAACCATTTTTGTTTTCTGGTTTTTTGATTCGTAGACACAGATGGCATGTCAGACTTCACCTCTTCGAGTGTGCCTCCAAAAGAATTGCTGGCAAACCAAACTAACCCTAGGAATGATGCAGCCCCTCTTCGTACACCCAAGTCACTGCCTCCAAAGTCTTGTTTCTACAACATGAACTCGTTGCAGCATGATCTACATCAGAGTGATCTGAACACTACCCCCATGGGAGACAAAATGATCAAAGATGAGTGGTCCGTGAAGTCATCCTCATCGAAGAAAGATGGGTATGACAGCTTGGAAAGCATTGTGCGGATTAAGGAAGTTGAATCTAGAATGTTCCAAAACCGAGCAGATGAAGCGAGGAGAGAAGCAGAGAATTACAGGCGGATGGTGCGGATGAAGAATGAGAAATTGGAAGAGGAGTATGCCGAGAAGCTTGCCAAACTGTGTTTGCAGGAAACCAAGGAAAGGATGAGGAAAAAACAGGAGGAGGTTAAGATGTTGGAAAATTCACATTTCGATTACTACAAGATGAAGATGAGAATGCAAACTGAGATTGCTGGATTGTTGGAGAGAATGGAAGCAACAAAGCAACAGTGGGTGTAACTCTTTTTCTACCTTCGAGTACGTTATTACCTAGTTTTCGGTTTTGCATTTTGAATTCTGGTTGTTTCTTCAAATGGAAATTGGAAGATTGTTTCTGTTGTAAAATTGGTTTTTTTTCTTTTTTGTTTTTTAAAATCCTCCACCTTCTTAGTAGTCTGATGTGGAAATTGATGTTTGATTGAAGATGTCTGAAACTCAGCAATGAGGAAAAAGAGCTGATATGAGAAACTATTGAAATATTGCTCTGCATAATTTGTAGCATTTGAGTTTTTGTTGTTTCATAATGTATTTTGAAGTGCATAAAACTATGTACCCAGAATTCTTGCCTAAAAATTTAACGAGAAAATGAGCATGTAGTTTAAATTTAACTCTTGTATGATGAGACTTATGCAAAATGAATCAATAAAAAAACCACACATTGATTTAGGATAATTTTCTGAACAATAATTTTGAGTAGCTAGCTTTTACCCTTTTGAAGTCAGGACTTGTTTGGTTTGAATCTATTTTGGAAATTGAGTTTTTTATTTTTCGTATTTTTGTTGCTTTCACCAAATTTTTTTAATTTTTAAGCAAATTTTTTAATTTTTGGATAAACCTAATCTAAATGCACTTAAAAAAAACATGAAAATATTTAAGAAATTCACTAAATATTAAAAATATATATATATATATATAAATTCAACACATTTTCTCATTGTTGTGTATTTATTGTTTTTTTTAAAATATTTTTTTATGAATATTTTACTTTTTAAATACATTTAAGTAAGGTGCATGAGAATGCAAACTGAGATTGCAGGATTGTTGGAGAGAATGGAAGCAACAAAGCAACAGTGGGTATAACTTTTTTTCTACCTTCGAGTATGTTATTACCTAGTTTTCGGTTTTGCATTTTGAATTCTGGTTGTTTCTTCAAATGGAAATTGGAAGATTGTTTCTGTTGTAAAATAGGTTTTTTTTCTTTTTTTAAAAAAAATCCTCCACCTTCTGTAGTCTGATGTGGAAATTGATGTTTGATTGAAGATGTCTGAAACTCAGCAATGAGGAAAAAGAGCTGATATGAGAAACTATTGAAATATTGCTCTACATAATTTGTAGCATTTGTGTTTTTGTTGTTTCATAATGTATTTTGAAGTGCATAAAACTATGTACCCAGAATTCTTGCCTAAAAATTTAACGAGAAAATGAGCATGTTTAAATTTTACTCTAGGATGATGAGACATACGCAAAATGAATCAATAAAAAAAACCACACATTGATTTGGGATAATTTTCAGAACAATAATGTTGAGTAGCTAGCTCTTACCCTTTTGCAGTCAGGACTTGTTTGGTTTGAATCTTTTTTTGAAAATTGAGTTTTTTATTTTTTTTTTGTATTTTTGTTGCTTTCACTAAATTTTTTTAATTTTTAAGTAAATTTTTTAATTTTTAGATAAACTTAATATAAATGCACTTAAAAAAACATGAAAATATTTGTGAAAATAATATTTTAAAAATTCACTAAATATTAAAAATATTAAATATATATATATATAAATTTAATACATTTTCATATTCTTGAGTATTTATTTATTTTTTAAATATCTTTTTACGAATATTTTACTTTTTAAGTAGCACATCTAAAAAGAAAAAGTAAAAAAAAAAAAAATTCTGAAAATATTAAAAAAATTACTAAAAATTAAAAAAAAAAAAAAAGAACACGAAAACAAAATCTCAATTTTAAAAAAAAAATTGGAATCAAACAATTGTCTTCCATTTTTTGAGTACGGATGTGAATAGTCTAGCATTTGGTTGGCGGATTCTTATCCGGAGATAAAATGGGGAATAAATAATACCTCCCTCCTAGGCTATGAGATTGTTGGGATTAAGACATCCATATTATTTTCATCCGTCTTATGATTAAAAAATAAAGGTTTTATCTTCTCACCTACTTTCGGATTTATTCCTTATATATTCATTAAGAATTATCTTTTTTGTTTTGAGAACTTTTTTGTATTAATTATATATTATGATTGTATTTTATAAAAAAATCTCATGATTCATGCTAAATTGGAATTGAAAATGGCCTCTTCTTAAAAAATTAAAAAATCAAAAATCAAAATAAATAAATAAATGAAATTGAGTGAATAACATGTCATTGTGTTGCCAACACACATTAGTCTATAATCATTGAATATTCTCTCTCATACTTTTGTATGATCATCGTCTACTTCAAACTATTGAGACAATTATTCTATGCGAACATGTAAGTGGGAATCAAATGGAAATGATTGAATCGATTTCACAATCAATAATACAATTCTTCGAGATTTTAGTCAACTCTCATCCATTAATTATTATTATTATTATTATTACAATTACATATACAGTTGTTTTTTCTTAGATTTCAAAGTTTACTATACGAGTGCTTGGTGTAGAAAAAAAATGAAATAAAATAAAGAATTAATTATTTAAAAGTCTTATTTGTGAATTTTTATTTATTTATTATTTGTGGAAGTTGTTGGAGGATAAGTCCCATCCCGACAATTTAACCAGTCTAAAATCTATATTCAAATTGTTTTAAAGGTTAATTATACAAAGACTCTCTCAACTCTCCTTCATCTATGAATTCATATAGATTGATTTCCTCAACTCACTTTTGAAGGTTGTGAAGAGAGTAAAAGTAATACATTGTCAAAATATATGAATTCATAAACTAAGAAAAAGAAAAAAGTCATACTGCTTAATAGTTTAGAATGTTTGGTGTAATTAATCATATATAGCCTTTATGAGAGGATTTGGTAACACACCTCTCAGAATGCACAGCAGCATTGATACGTGTCAATTTTTTTTTAATTTTAAAATATTATATCTTTTACTTTATACATTTATTTTTAATAAAATTTATATTTTTAAAACTTAGTAGTCGAATGTATCAAACAAGATCAATAATAAAAATAAAATTATGTAACTATAATTTGTGGTTTTTGAAGTGAAAATATTGTATGTTACAATAATTTACAATTATGTAATTTTATGATAGTAGTAACATTTTGATGAAATAGTGTTATACTACTATAAAAATACACGTGTATCATTCAGAAATTACAAATTGTTGTAAGACTACCATAAAATTACTTAACATTTGTCACTAAAAATCTTTAATATTTATATATATTAAGGATTCAATATTCAAAGTGCATTCAATATACACCGTTAAGTTGGTGCATACCGTAACATTCCCCTTCTCAAAGCTTTGAAGATATTTTTTTTTATTTTTCTCTTTTCTTCCCGGTATTGCTTGAAATGTTGGTTTTGGCATTTAGGTTGCCAAGCATCCGTAGAAGGAATCAAACCACTAGTTTGGCTTTGGTACATTAGTGAAGTTATTTCATTGTGATTCGACAGTATGTGATTAGCATATTGAGATAGTATTTCCACATACACGATAAGATTGAATATATTTAATCCATCCCAAATTCTGCAATAGAGGGAATCTTGTGCACTGAATTGTTATTTTATAAATTTGATAAACATAGTTTTTAACATGTAAGATGACAAGCAATCTAATTGTAGGGAATAATTATGTAACCATTTAAACAAGCAATAAACACCAAGAATTATGGAAATAGATTAGTGATTTGCAGAGTCCTTTAGCATTAATGGTATGAACACAAAGGAATCACTGAAAGAAAAAGAAAAGAAGGAACATTTGGCTTAACAAAGAAAAAAACACAAAAGAAGAGTTCTTTAATGAAGAATCACAAGGAAATGAAATAAAGAAAAGATGCATTACAGTTAGTAAAGCTTTTCTTTTTACCATTTCTTTGTTTTGTTTTTGCATCACTTTTGTTCTTTCCTTTTTCTTTTTCTTTATGACTAATCCTAGTACCACTCCTCACTACAAGAAAAATTATTTTTGGCGACTAAATTTTTAGTCGCCAAAAGTCCGCTTTTAGTCGCCGAAAGTCAAGTTTTTACTTTCAGCGACTAATTTTTTTAGTCACCCCTTTTGTCGCGCATACGTGGTCTCGAGAGGTATCGGCGACTAAACTTTTTTTAGTCGGCAAAAAAGAGCTCTTTAGCGACCAACTGTTTAGTCGCCATTGGTGCATTACACTTTTTAAAAGCACACATTTAGCGACTAATATTTTAGTCGCCAATAGTCTATGAATCGCCGACTAAACTATTTTATCGCCCAAAATAACACTTTTGGCGACTAAAAGTTTAGTCGCCAAAGGTTCTTCCTTAAAAAAAAAAAAACAAATTCTTTGGTTTTTCTGAGATTCGGAACCGTGAACCATTCCAACTGCCAACACATTTACCAACATACTCCCTCCACTATGCCACTTGAACATCACATGATTATATATGCAATATATATTATTTATATACTATTTTGACCGGTATTCATACAAAACCATATATGTAAATATAATTATTTTTATTGAATATAATTTATGTAAAAAATAAATTATTTATTAAAAAAAAATGTAGGCCACTTTTGGCGACTAAATCAATTATTTAGTCGCCAATTCTATGATTTTTGGGCTACTAATTAATTTGTTGTCGCTAAAAAAATATGTTTAAATTAAAAATATCACTTTTGGCGACTAAATCTGTTTTTAGTCGCCAAAAACGTCCCGTTTTGGCTACTAAATTGAAATTTAGTCGCCAATTCACTGTTTTTAGCTACTAATTTTTTTTTTTTGTAGCCAAAAACCTTCATTTTCAGCGACTAATCTTTTTTTAGTCGGCAAAAGACCTATAATCGGCGACTAAAATGGTTTTTAGTCGCCAAAACCATCACTTTTGGCTACTAAATTATTTAAGTCGCCAAAAACCGTCGCTTTTGGCTACCAAACAACCTTTAGTCGGTAAAATTGCTACATTCGGCGACCAACAAACAGTTTAGTCGCTAAAACCCTGGTATTCGGCGACTAATTCATTTTAGTCGGCAAAAGGCTTCATTTTTGGCGACTACATTCAGTTTAGTCGCCATTTGGTCAACTTTCAGCGACGAAATTCTGAATTTTAGTCGCCATTTGTGCTTTTTCTTGTAGTGCCTGTTGCTATCAATCACTCCAGGAATCTACCAAGAAAAATTGCACCTGATTAAACTTTGAATATAACATATAAGAGTTTTAGAAATCAAATTTATTTATTCAAATAAGTGAAAATTTTGTTACAAAATACATTTGGAACAATTCTTACCGTCGCAAAATAATCGCTAAAAGATTGTCCTCAAAAGTCAAAAATATGATTTTTAGCGACAATTTTAAAAATATCATTAATAAATGCACTTTTAATAACCAAATAATTTGCTCCAAAAAAGTTGAATTTTTTTAGACAAAAATTTTGATTCCAAAAGAATAATAATATTAAGGGGCACTTACGGGCCGGTTTTATTAACCAAACTTATTTACTTGATAAATTTATTATTGTAAATTTATACACAAAAACACTTCACCCCCTATGATTTTGGACTATAGCAGATGACCCTCACGTTTGAAAATATGCAAACACCTCCTTATGATTTTGGACTGATTTGCAATCGTCAAGCCTTAATGTTTATGTCAAAAAGACTAGTTTACTCTTACACACTGACACACTCATCCCCCCCCCCCCCCCACACGTCACACACATGCACTTTCCTCTCTCCTCTCTCTTTCTTTCTCTCTCTACATAACACATATCACATCATATCACCTCACTTTTTTAATTAAAAAACAAACATCTTATTGAATTTTATTTTAATAAAATACATATAATTTTTAATATATAAATTCAAATTTTTATAAAATTAATATTATTCAAAAATACCAACAAAGCCATTAAAATAGACTTATATTTAACATATTTAATAAAAATTTAAATTAATAATTCAAAAAAATATTATATAAAAATTACATAATTAAAATAATTTGTATGATTTGAAATTAATGTAAATAACAATTATTTAGAATTATTTTTTGAACAAAAAAATATTATTTTTTATTTACTAAAAAAACATAAAGACTAATAACAAAAATATTAATTCAAATTTCACAAAATTAATAATAATAATAATAATACACAAATGTTAACTTAAATTCTATAAATAAAAAATAATAATAATACAGATAATAATAATTAAACCATACAAATATTATTTTATATTTTTATTAACTCAAATCATAC